TGGTAGAAGAGTCCTCCTAGGAGATGAACTCTAGTTAATTTTCTTTTTATGTCTATTTTTTTTGGAGGAAAAAAATAATAAGAAAATGAGTGTCTACATTAATAATAATAATTTAATATATAAATTTTAGTTCTATAGAATTATAAATATAAAGTTTTAAGTGTAGTTTTTTTAACAAATCCTATACGGGGAAGGAGAAGGAGAAAAAGAATTTTGCTTCTAATAATATTAATAATGATAATTTGATATGAAGTGCATAAATAAGTCTCTTATATTTTTTGTTTAAGTTAATTTTTTAATATTTTTTTCTAGATTTAAACATTGTTTCACATAAATAGACTAACCATCTCAAATTCTAACTTACATTCTAGTCCTCAAACTTTAAAACATTTTTATTGAATCCTCAAACTATTAATATTATTTCAGTAGACCATTCTATCAATTTAAACATCGTGTTAGTTTGAATTTGACATGAAACATATTTAAGGCTTACGAATCAAAATTCAAATATTATTCACCTATTGTACGAATAGTTTGGACCTTATATGTTAAAATGATAGTCCTATTAAATTCTAAAAACAAGATATATTTTTAACATTTAAAATTATTTAACATATGTACACAAATCCTAATTGATATTTAATGCTCCATCAAATGATTAAATTGGTAAACATAACTAAAATTATACATATAGTTAAAAATTTCAATTAAAATATTTTAATATTTAGAACATTTAATATATATATGAGTTAATATCTACTTACACAATGTAAATCTCTTTAGTTTTATACATATTTATATAATTGAATATATATATATATATAATATGAGGGTTGGGTTTAATAATTATATTCATATGAATACAAGTGACTGTTGGTTACAAGCAAAAGACAACCCTAAACCAACCTTAGTAGCTTGCAATACAATGTATCTAAAAAAGGATGGATTGAAAGGGTGGATGGACTAGTCGTCCAATGAAATTTTTAAATTTACGTATATTTTAGATTTTGTATGTATTTTCTATTAATAATTTATTTTTTTCTCCCTAGTATTTTAAAAATTAATTTTTTTTAAAATACATAAAATTCTCTTAATATAAAATCTTACATCCGTTCGTGTATCTAAAACTATATTTCTTAATTATTATATCAAGTCTGTTGAGTCACATGCAATGCAATCTGCCTCTGAACTTCTCATCATTAACTCACATTTCATTATCTACCCCCAAAACAAACTCGCACCCCATTAATTATATATAAATAATTAATGGGATAAGTTTAAAAATTATCCCGACATTGTTTCTATATGGGATAAGTTTTTTAATTCGTCAGAACTTGTAGGAATTGCTTGATATCAAAGTTTACAAAAATAATATTAAATAAAAAAGTCGTTGTTAAATATTTAAATTTGATTTTTTTATATAACCATGGATATCCGGCTTATTGAACGACTTTTTTTAAAATTTATTTTAACTCTTAACGTTTTATTTTGAATCAAAATAATACATACTTCATTGAATTAAAAATTTCAATTAATTAATAATTAATATTTTTTTGTTGATTAAACAGAATCACATAAAATGAAATATTGATATAATATTATTGAATATAAATAATTGACGACATAATACAATACAACATCAACAGAAAAAATTAATTAAACTATTAACTATTTAAATGCAAAATAAATTATGTTATTATTTTTGTTGATGAACTTAACGGAATTAAAGAGGAAAAAGAACTAAAGTTTCAACTTAATCCTCTTGTTAAAGGTCATACTTCTTTCCTCCTATGTAGGTGTATTTTCTAATTTCTTTTAATTTTAAATTAATCAAATGATAATATGAGTTTTATTAAATTGGATGGTGCTGTCACATTCGACGATTATGGATGAGCACCGTTAATGATGAGTATCATTAAATTAAATTATCAAACGTAAATTTATAAATTACTAAACATATAATTATAAATTAGTTAAAAATTAAATGTAATTTAATTAAAATATAATATTTATAAAACATTAGTTTTTAGGGTAAACTATATCATTGATCACCTAACTATTTATCTTTTTTACTTTAACCATCAATTTTTCAATTTTGTCAATTGAGTCATCTAACTATTTAAATCTTGTCAATCAAGCCATCTGCCGTTAAATATTTAAGGATGAGATGTCGTGGTAGTTAATAAAATTTATATAACTACACATTTAGTCTTTCATTACTTACACATTCTATTAATTTGGTCCTAACTTTTATTTAATTCAATAAATTTAATCTTCAATCCGATGATGACATCTGTCACTATGTGATTGGATGTTTTTTTAAATATTTTTATTTAATAAATTTGCCATCCGATCAAATGGTATCACATGTCACCAATTGAATGAATGGAAAATAAATTAAATCAATAATTGCTGTTGATAGAATTTGAACCTGTGACGCAAGCCAAAAAATTGAGTACCCTAACCACTAAGATAGACTACTAAATTTGTCTAGCATACATAATGTAATATATATAATTTATAATATAGCTAATTGTAATAAATGGTCTTATAAGAACTAAACATGAAATAAATGAATAGTATAAAAATATAAAATATATATAAACAAATATTATAATTGATTAATAAATGAATATGTTTTATTTATATTTTAAATCACATTTAATGGAAATTTAAAATAAAAGTGAATTTAATATGTTATAAGTGAAATGTATTATTTTACATATTTTAAATTAATAAATTATCTTCATTATTATAATTTTATTGAATTGAAATGTATCATATTTTATATTTTAAAATATTATAACGTCCATTAGATTCTAATCTTATTTAACAAATCTATATTAAAATAGATTAATTCAATAAAATCAAGTTTACCCTAAAATTTTCTTCAAATATATAATGAATAAATAATAAAATATAAAATTCTAACTTTAACCGGGATATAAACAAGTCAATGCATAAGTTAAAATGCTTACTACAATAATCCCTCAACAGGAAAATTCTAAGCCAATGAAGCTCTTCTTTATATTTCAATTATAATATATTAAAATTATTTTTATATTTATTTTTTATTAAAATGATTTAAAATATAAATAAAATACATTTACATATTAATCAGTTATAACATTTGTGTATAGATATCATATTATTGTACTATTCAATTATTCCATGTTGAAGTTTTTATTAGGTCGTTTTTCTTTTTCTTATTGCCATTAACTATATATTTGAATGGTGCAACCTAGTGGTTGGGTGTTTCTTTCATTTTTTTCACGTCTTGGGTTTAAACCCCATTAGCGACGATTATTGATTCAATTTATTTTCTATTAATTCAATTGGTGACTATTTTATTGGAAGAAAAAATTATTAATGGCCACGTTGCTGATGGGTTTTTGACTTAATTTAGCATTTGCTTCTGATTTTAATCTGTTGGTCTGTTGTAGCTAGTTGATAACCAAGACTATGGGAGTGTTGGATTATGCGTTGTTGCAAGTTGTTTAGGTTCCCTGCAGCTTTTCGAATGTTTGTTTGGGGTTAGAGTGGTGGCTGTTGGATAAGTATGAGTTACATTATGTATGTATATGGTACTTTTTGACATTTCATGGTGCACTATTTCCCTCTAATTATATCTAGGGAGGTTTTTTAACGAGGTTCATGTATATGTCATATTTTGTATGTGTTCATGTTAATACCATACAAAATCTTTTTCAAAAAAAATATTTTAAAAAAATCCAATCATACAGTAACACATGTCACCCTTGGATGAGGATTGAATTTATTGAATTAAATAAAAGTTATGACCAAATTAATAGAATATGTAAGTAATGAAGGACTAATGTGTAATTATACAAATTTTATTAACTGTCATGTTATCTCTTCCGTTAATATTTAACGACAGGTGGCTTGATTGACAATATTTAAATAGTTAGATGACCCGATTGACAAAATTAAAAAATCGGTGGTTAAGGTAAAAGGGGTAAATAGTTAGACGGTCAATGGTATAGTTTACCCTAAAAGCTAATGTTTTATAAATATTGTATTTAAATTAAATTACATTTAGATTTTTAACTAATTTATAATTATATGTTTAATACTTTATAATTTAACGTTTTATAAATTAATTTAATGGTGCTCATCGTTAACGGTGCTCATCCACGCTCGACATGCGTTGTATAATTTTTCTGTTAAATTAATAAAAAATAAGTAGTTATACATTTAATTTAATTAATATTTTTATTGATGTAACATTATATTACATTATCGATTAATCACTTAGGACATCAGTAAGCATTTTTATCTTTATGTGATTTTATCTAGTCAGTAGGAAACGTTGATCATTAATTAATTAATAATTTTTATTCAATGAAAATAAGAAATACTTATTATTAATTGATTGACGATTTTCATACAAAGAATAATCATTTAGATCTAGAATGAATTGTTAAATATTAAAATTATATATATATATATATATAAACTAAATAATTATTCGAATTATATATAATATTGTTGAGTTAAAAATATTTAAATATACAATAATTTATGATTTAAGGATTTTTTTTTTATTTTTGATTATATTAACTTTGAGCTTCGGCTGCGTCTAATATAACAAGTCGAGATGCAACTTAGAATATCCAGAAAAAAAAATGTGTTTTATCTCATCTGTGTTGCTGGAATATAATAAGGTATTTGATTCCAATTCCCATTCCCATTAAAACGCATAGATTAGACAACTAATGTCTGGTCATTAAACAAGGTTTGAAAGGGGGATGCAACCCACTCCCCAAAGGCCATTTGGAGTGCACCCACGGTACCATGGGAGACCGGGCGGCCAACCGATTGGCCAAGCATGACTGGGTAGGCATCAGGTATGATATATATATATATATATCAACATAAACATGTTTGAATTCTTTATAAGTTTTAGCATCCTACCAACATACTCGTAGATAAATATTCATTGAATATAAATAAACACGAATAATTAAAGAAAATATATAAATAGAAATTCAGATAAAAAAACATGGTACTAGTAGTGATAGTCGTAGAAGAATGTTTCATACATTGTGATAAATATACAAGTAGATCGATTTTGATCCATTTTTTTGCAGCAAAAGCTTCAATCTTTGGCTAGAAATGAGAAATCCCAGTTCTTTCCCCTCGATTTCATCTCGACATTCGCTGATCAACCCATATTTTCTTTTTTGCTTTCAACTTCAAACACCGTAATCCCCCATTGTTCTAAGGATGGTAAATGTTTTCTCTTTGGTCGGAAAGCGGAGAAAAATTCTACATAAAATACTTTTTTGGATTTTCAGGTCGAAGATCTTCGCCATGGCTTTTTATTTTTCTTATGGGGCAATTTAAACGGACTCCAGCTCTTTCTGCGTTTAGAGGTTTCACAGAAGAGGCCGGATGCCAAGGCCTGTTGAAGCCATAACTCAAATTCTTCTTCATCTTCGTCGATCATTTCAGCATCCAAGTCCCAAGGATATCGGCTTGACTTTGATCTTTGGGTCTTCTCTAAACCAACCATGTTTACGTGGAAGCTGGGCCGATGCGTGTTCGGTCTACATGCCATTCCCTGCAACCACCATTCAGTAAGGTTCTAAAACTGTTAGGTACATGAAGATAATCCCGTGCCAGATGAGTAGACAGGAAAGGAGGCCGAACATTCTCTTTTCAAATGATTGGATTTGAATCATTTAACTAGCAAGCCAGATCACATACACACACAAACTGACGCATTCATGCACATGCATGTTTTGCATGTAACATGAACCACTGACCTGACAGATAGCCCATTCTGAAACGTCGAAGATCTTGCTCTCAGCGCAGACAAAAGCACGTGGTATTTCCACCTATAGGACAGGAAGCAAACATAGTAAAAAGCCAGGTTTAAAGAAATAAAGGGACCTAAATTCCGCCATTCTGAGAATGTGCGATGTTTACTTGAATGACAAAAATATTGTTCTCTGGGGTCTGCTTTTTATTAAGTATCCGTTTAACTAGAACGTAAGTAGTAACAAATGATGGTAAAAATTATTGACAGTGACGCAAAAACATTCACAGCTTGATGGACTTACGAAATTCAGTTTAAACGATCAATGTAGTAAATCAAATGGATCGAACATTTTGCACCAATGAGAAAAGAGCTTACGGCTTACCTTCTGAGGCCTATCAAATACCAAGGAACCTTTATACTCGACCCATCCATCCCCATCCTTGGCTTGATGATATTGACAGCAATCCTGTAGCCAAAACTAATCTCAGAAATTTATGAAATGCATGCATTTGGGCCAATGAAATATATATATGTATATCAGTTTGTTGATGTGTTCATGTACGTGCTTGTCTTTTTGTGCTTCCATGCAAGCCTATTTTTGTGTGCAAGAGCACATTAAAATACCATATTAATTGATGCTAAAGATATTGCATATATATATAATAGTGATTACAATTTCAATTACAATTTTTATTCTCAAGAGGCTTATGTCTTAAAGCTTCATAGTTAAGACTTGTTCCGTTCCCAGTATAAGAAGTTCGCACATTTCAAAAGATCGGATTTGTTTTTTTTTTGAATGAACAAAAGATCGGATTTGACAAATAGAGAGTCGGGAAGTCTGACCTGACACCACCTAGCCTTGGCCTTGTTCCTATTCGTGCACACCCATATATGTGAATTACCACACTTGGTGCATTGTATACGCCTCGATTCTTCAGAGCGATGATCTGATGTAGATTGCTGAAAGGAGAGAATGTTGAAAGATATTAGTTTAAACGGCAACCCAGCATTCAATAATCTGATGAGGAATCACATATATTTGACTAAAAATCCAGAGCTTTGTACAAATATATAATATAAGAAACAGCAAGAGAGCAGAACAGAGAAAAAATAATGCAAGAAAAACGAAAATGAATGATAGAAATCAGAACCACCTGCTGTGAAGAGCTATGGGACTTTTGACAGACACTCCTTGTCTTGGATTCTTCCTTTCTCAATTGCTCATCATAATCCCTCTTCTTCATGGAATCCGAAAGGACCTACAAATCCACACCAATGCCAGCTGTGTAAAGAAGCCATAATTTCTCCAATTGTTGACGGTGTTCAACTTTCATTTGATATAATCGGAACTCAAAATAAAAAATCATACAAATATTATAACAGTAACGATGAGAACATCTACTCACCTCATAAGCACACTGAAGTTTCTTAAAAGATTCACTTGCTAAAGGACTTCCCATGTTCTTGTCAGGATGTACAAGCATGGCCTGTCAAAATAGAATTCCCAGAAAAAATTAGTGTATACTAAAAAAATGGAAAACAGAAAAAGGCTAAATGATGCTTCCTTTCGAGAAGGAAAATAAAAGAAGTACGTCTTCCCTTCCTTCCTAGACAATTCACCTTCTCTAAAATGCTTCTCGCTTAATTTTAATAACGGATTGCAGAAATAAATTATAAGAAGCAAATGCTTTTACTGAAATAACTGCAGGTGCCTGAGTTAGATATTTAGACAAATCAAATATGTAAGGCTTCTTTCTGGATAGCATCTACCTTTTTTCGGTATTCCTTTTTGAGGATTCCAGCATCAATTTTTATGTGACGAGGGAACCCCAATGCTTCATAATGATTTGCGCTATTGAATATTCTTTTCATTTCATCAGTCGAACTCGTTTCTTCCTTGACCACCCTTTTTGCAGTGAACTCCTTTTGGTTTATAACTGATGTAGTAGCAGATTTGCTTGATGACTTGCATTGATGCACCTTCTTAGGTTCATCGGTGGGAATAGAGTATTCACACTGTCCAGGCAAATCATCTTCCATAACCGATTTGGGCTCCTTTTGTTCATCAAAATGAGTGTTTTCACTTGCATTATCAAAACATTGGAGCAAATGATTCACCATGTCGTTCGACAAAAAAGCAAGGTTTATTGATAGAAAAACGCCATGCCACCCAACTCGAACTTTGACGCAATAAATAGAGTATGCAGTCGCTATTAAAACTATTAATCGTGCATGACTTAAGGAGAACAAATAACCTGCATGGAGATATATCAGCTTCAAAGATCACAAAACAGCAGAGGCAGTCAAAGCAGATAAAATGCAAATACAATCAAGCCCATCAAACAAGTTACACTTTCCTTATGTTTTCCTACAGATTCCTCTAGTATATTTTCCTCGATACAAAAAGACGCTTATGTAGGTTCATACATGTACAAGCTCAAGAAACGAAAGCCGTAATCCATTTTTATATGGCTTAAGGTGGATAATTTTGGAAAAATAAAATCTCATTTTTGTTGTGGATGTCACCGACAGCATAGACCTATCTTATGTTTTATATGGATATGAAAATGAAATAAGAAAAAAGTATGGATACTATATTACTGACAGGAAAAATTCATTCAATAGGGTAAGAAACAAGTCATACCTCCAACTATAAAAAGTGTTCCGGTTATCCAAAAGTTAGCATACATCCATAATACCAATATGCCGAACAGTCCTACAATAAAGAGGCCAGGCATGTAACCTAAGTACTGAACAGAAGCTCCGGCAGCTCCCTGAAACAAATGAGACAGATCCTAAGCATCACCCTTAAACATCTAATTACAAATTACACATCGATGAGATTGATGTCACAATGTAAACTAAGTTGGAATAAAAAAGTGTAAATCCACCATAACTCTCGCAAAAACCTAAACATCACTAAGTTTAGCAGAACTTCATAGAAAATATCCACCAATAACTACCTTCTAGCAAACTTTGCTCCTCCAATTTCATGTCAGGTCATGACTAGAAGAAAAACGCTATCAGGCAGAATAACATAACTTTCTAGGGTGGAATTTTTTTTTAACTTCCACGATCACGGTTGTGGCAGATGTAGTTCAGGCTATGGCTGATTTAATATTAAGTGTTCGAAAAAACTTGAATCGAACTCTTCACATTAGTATGCAGACAGTTTTATGCATAAGGATAGTATCCAAGGATTTAGGAATCAAGAGAATTATCATATGAATGTGTTTCGACATCTATTGCAAGAACTTCAGGGTATGATTTCCAATCAACAGTTCAGCAATCAGAACAACAAGAAGATACTAAAAATGAAACTTTTACGCTAAATCCAAACATCTTTGCTAAGAATCTAACCTCTAACACATCAATTCAACATCAAAAAGTAAAGCTGTCAAAACTAGCCCAATTCTTTGACCTTAATCAAAGAAATTCCAAAGATAAATCAAGGTTGACAAACATAAAATCAACAATCAACTTGAAAAATGTCCAAATATCATAAAGATGCAATAAAAACAAAAAACACAAGATTTGAATAGAATGGAACTGATACATTACCATACTGAGAAGCACATAAAGCAAGCAAGACATGGAAGTCAAGCTGAGGAAACAGCTCCACATTATGACAAGCAAAGAAGCAGGACCTAACTGGATACATGACTGAAACCCTCTCACCAAACAATCTTTCCAATAAATCAAAACCAATCTCGAAAACTTGCAGAAACCAACACATCCACTACAAACCATAGGCCAATGCCTCTCCATTAACAACCCCATTTTATCCCTACACCAAGCAGCAGCTGTTTTCGCCTTGGAATAAACATGTTTCTGAGATTCCAACCATTTCCAACCCTGCTCAAAAAGCCCTATATCCTCCATCGCATAAATTTTAAATCTTCGGATCCACCCTCGAGAAAGATCAAATTTTTACCGAGAAAATGGAGAGAGGAAAAATACCCATTTCAGGGATTGAAGTTTAGAGGAACTAAAACACACCCATTTGTGCATTTCATTCGCTTAAATTTAAGAAAAAAAATTAGCCATCAAAGGAATTGCAGTTGAGAGAGTAAATTCAATCACGCTGGGTTCATCCAACCCCACAAAATTTTTGCTTCGCATGTAAGCTAGGAGAAAAAAGGATTTTAGAAAAAGAAAAAGGACAAAAGATTGAAGCAAATTATGCCCCTTCTTTTTACTCTGAAAATCTGACTAAATACAAAGACTAAACAAAGAAACCACAGTAAAGCAAATGATAAGGTCAGTCGAGTTGGTGGGGGTAACTAAAAGCTTAATTATTATTTTTTAAAAATGGGGTTTTTTTATTTTGGTTATGGTAAGACAAAACCTAAGAATATAAATATATTTTCTTATTTTCATTTGTTTTTTCAGTAGTGCTCTTGAAAAAAAAAAGGGGTATACTCTGAGCTGAAAGAAAAGTTGGAAAGCGGCTGTAAGTAAAAGGACAGAGAGATGCAAAAGAGCGAGCTAACTGTCTCTGCTCGGCTAAACTTCAACTCGGACAAGTAGGGAAGGAAGGATCATTCATTAGACATTTTTGGAAGTTCATAATTAGACAAAGACCAGAGGGGTTCAGGACCCACTTTTGTTTTCACATTATGAATTACCAACATCAGAGATGAGACTTTGAGATGCTCCTCTCATGTTTTTGTTCTGTTCATACTTTTTTTTTGTATGAAAAATCATTATTTTTATTAATGCGATGAGATGTTTATATAATAGGGATAAAATCATTTTTAGTCCTTAGAATTTGATAGTTTTTTAAATTTAGCTCTTGCTTTTTTTTTTGTTTATGTTGATCTTTAAAATTAGATTTTTACTCATTTTGATGGTATGATACACTAAGCGTGTGTTGTATGATATAATTTTAAGATATCACATTATTTAATGGATAAATAGATGGATCAAAATGAAGTTTATGGATTGAATTTAAAATAAATATTAAGTTTAGGGATTAAATGTTGCTTTATCCCTTTATTCCCTTATATGTATAAATATATTATAAATTGTTTTCTTTCTTATTATTGAGAATGAGATGTCATGGAATGAAATAGTTTTCATTTATGTACAGTTGCATGTTGCTGTAGGAAATAAATTTCTGAATTTATTATTATTTATAATGTAGTTGGACATTATTTATTATTTGAATCTATATCAATTTTAATATCAATAATGTTGAATATTTGAAATTCGGATATATTATTTAAATCATCCGGTCCATAGTTTCGATTGAATATTAACGCGGTTTGGAAAAACAATGGTCTAATGGTATTTTTGACTCTCAAACGTTTTACGAAAATCATTTTAGTCTTTAATTTTTTTCTCATCTCTTTTAGTCTTGAAATTTTTAATCAAATTGAACCGATTGATGGAAAATTTTGTTAAGATAATGTTAACTATGCCATTTTTATAAACTTTATAAGTTATCTGTTTTTTCATTTTTAAATGTTTGAAATATTGTTCCTTTACAGGGAGAAAAGGAATGAAATAAAAATCTAAGAGTTAAAATGATCAAACTGATAAAATTAAGGAGCCAAAAGGTCATTTCACCTTTTCAATTCATGATAATTATACGAGAAATGTAAGATGAAAAAGATGACTTGTTGCAGCCAACCAAAAGGTTCGTCGTAATTTATTTTTCTTTAATGTAGTTTTGATAGTTTTAAGAATTTAGTGTTTTTTTACTAAGCACAAGATATTATGTTGACAAAGTAAATATAAGGATTTGAACTAAGTATTTTTGTATTCACACCATACTAATTAAAAAAATAATTGATTAAATTAAATTAATCACTTAAGATTATTTTTTAAAATTTATTCAATATCAAATAAATTGAATAAAATTTTATACTCCAACTTAAATCCGGTTCAAAGATTTAAAAAGTAACTCAAATTTTAGCTTGACTCGAATTTAAATAATCATATATGATATTGAAATCATACATAAGCCCGGTTAGATTCGAATTTGGGATAAGAGAGAAGGATAGCCAAGCATTGATCGACTCTGCAAAAATCTCTTTAGTTAACCAAAGTGACCAAACACGGTAACATTTACAAGAGCTTGATTTTGGCTATTTCCACCAAATACAAGAAAGAACAAACGCTGTTGTACAATTTACAAACTGGAAAAGCTTCAAAAACCCAAAAATATAATAAAAATAAATAAATTTCGACATTTGTTCGCATGATGTTTAAGCACTCCGATCGGTATTGAAGGTCATAGTTGCAGAAGCTGAGGTTCCTGATGACATGGTTGAATTATCTCTGTCTGAGCCAGAGAAAGCACTATAAGATGTGTTCTTCGGTTCCGGCTTCACTTTATCAGAACTTCGCACTTTGAGGTCCATAAAATCAGAAATTAAGCCTGGTTTTGTTATCTTCCTCTCGTTGACATCTTTCTCGCCCGTTAGCATCTTGACCACCGATGACATTGATGGTCGTAGTTTAGGAGCATCTTGGGTGCAAAGAAGACCAATCTTTAGGTACCTACAAGCCTCCTCCACGTCGAAATCACCATTCAGCAAATCGTCTACCAACACAATCAGCTCATTTCGCTCATAAAGCTCCCATGTCTGCAACAAGAGATCAGTGTGTCACGAACCCCAAACCTTTCAATAATATTTCTAGGAGTTGCAACATATATCTCGTTGGAAGATCTCCAAGCAAAACCGAAAGGAAGTCTCATCACTCACGGATCAAGCTCCACCGTTGATACAATTGCATTAAAATAAACTTTAAACTGTAACAGGAAAGACGCGAACCCATACCCGTCCTAGGATATATTGTTCTCCTACAGGTAACCGTGTATTTGTGTTACATCTCCCGGTGATGATTTCTATGAGGAGAACGCCAAATCCGTAGATATCTGCTTTTCGCGTCAGCTGCCCCCTTATTGCATACTCTGGTGCAAGATAACCTCTGAAACCAAGAATGAATGCATCAATGACATTTAATACTCGTTGAAAGCATAAAAGTTTGGTCGATGAGCAAATACGAACTAAATTTAAGTCCATCGCCACATGCTTAATTGGTAAATTTTAACTACAGCCACAGAGGTCTTATAGTTGATATAATAAATTTGATAAGCAATGCCTTGAAATAGAACCTAATTTAAAGAGGGAACCAACTTCAATTCGATTTTGTTGAAGTCATATCAACCTTCTCGAAAGTGAAAACATAGTAGACACTAGTTCCTCAAAGTAGCCTCACTTTCTCCTTTCTCCATCTGCTTTCTTGCAGATTTCACCTAGTTTCGAAAACCTAAAAACCTTTAAAGTGAAGAAAAATGATGTTTTTAGATGCTTATTGCGAAGGAGAAAATACGATACGCGAATTACAATATACAGAGTAAGGAATCATCTCCATGATTATTAAAGCTCAACTTCAATAGAGAATGTTGCAACCCAACTCATCGTTTATATTTGGACATGGGTTGTGAGCATATGAGTATGACCATCCAATGACCTTCCAAATATATAGAAAAGTTTAGGAATTTTTTTTTAGTAGAACCTTGTCGGAGCACTTATCCAACACTTGCACCCGAAGCTGAGTAACATGGAAATTTTTTGTTACTATTGCTTTTAACACAAACACTTAGTGATTTCGATGGTAATATGGTATTAACTGCTAATTGAAAACTAAAAATACATTTGAAGTATGGTTAAACTTGAAGGAATAAAAGGAATGCTGGAGCCTTACATTGTTCCAGCCACACGAGTGCTAACATGAGTCATGTTTGCTGGGATAAGTTTTGCCAATCCGAAATCTGATATTTTGGGAGTTAGGTCTCTGTCGAGAAGAATATTGCTTGCTTTGATATCTCTATGAACAATGTATGGCTTTACTTCCTCATGAAGGAAAGCAAGCCCACGGGCAATCCCGATACATATTTTGGTTCGTGTTTTCCAATTAAACTGGATATTACTGTGACCACTACCTGTAAAAGAAAAGGGTTAAACTGCTATTAGTTTCAATGTGATTAAAACTCTATTAGGCAAGCAATGTTTGAATCGTTAAAAAGAATATTCATTCTATACAACACAACTTATTCTATTATTGACATGATAATTATACAGTTCATATAATGGAAGGCAGCGTAAAATACATAGCAAAACACTTCTCTTATATATATATGATTTTACTGCTATGTGTTATGATATAAAGAATAGCCTCAAATTCAATAAATTGAACTTAAAAGTGTAGAACAATATTGAAAAATTACCAAGAAGAGTCTGGGAAAGGCTGTTATTCTCAAGGTAGTTATAGACCAAGATTCTGTGATTATCTTCCACACAACAGCCATAGAGCTTGACCAAATTTTCATGCTCTATTTCAGAGATCACTTTAATCTCTGTTACGAATTCTTTTACTCCTTGTCTTGATTCAGCAGAAAGAACTTTTATTGCAGCAAGATTTCCGTTTTTGAGCCGTCCCTGAAAATTAATAATGATAATTAAGGAGGTTCCTTTAACAGAATGATGACAAGAAATAAAAGGGTAAAGCTAGCAATGCTCATATATTTAAACAACATATATATACCTTATAGACAGAACCGAAACCTCCTTCACCAATCTTATTGACCGGGCTAAAATCTTCAGTGGCAGTTCTTAATTCTTTGTATGTGTAAAATTTTACATTGTGAATGTCAAACTCTATTCGGAACAAGAAGAAAGAAGACAGATTAGGAGGTTTCTTTCATTAAATTACATGTCACGCATAATAAGTTTTCTAATTATTAGAAGGCTTCTGACTTACCTTCATAAACCTCAAAAGAATGGTTTTTTGATGAATCATTATGTCCACGAAATAAGAAAGAAAAGCAAGTCATAACTTAATGATCCACCAGAGACAAGCTTTCCAATATATTTGATCAATGCTTTGTATCAGAGAACTTTCTGGATCTGCCAAGAGGAACCAATGAGAAAAACTTTAATTCCACACTCATAAAACCATGGAATCAAATAACAAAATCACAAAGGTAGGCAATGGATGTACTGTCTGAGCTAAAAATTAGAACTCATAAACCAAATTCTGTGGTGTATGTCGGAAAATGATGCAGACAACTTGAACACAGAAAAAAGCAAATATCAAGCAGGCAATGGTTTCGGGAATATCTCCCAAATTCAGTTTGGGATTCAGTTCGGACCTAGGATGCATTATGAATTTACTATCACAACTTTAGATTTCTTTACAAGGAGTAATCACTTCAGCACTAGTAAGTTTTGCAGTAGAAGTTTTCAGCAGGCAGCAATTAGCGTTGCCATCTATAATGCAGAATGTAGGGTAGCTTTGCTGCACTTAACAAGCCATTGGTAACAAAACAAAAATATTATACCTTTTAAAACATTGATTAGTTAAAGTTCCTAGTTGGAAATATCATACATAAGAAACTATATATATCTATAAACAAGTTCATTAACAAGAAATGACTCCATTAGCCCATCACAGACTTGGCAATTCACATATCAAATTCTCAAAAAAAAAAATGTTGAATTCTGAAATTCAGCTAATATTATGAAGTCATCAGCTCACAGAATCAATGCAACTTTGAAAGCTTTGCTTCTAACAGATACCACTAAGAGTCTTGTATCAAATCCCTAGTAAGCAATTATCCGCTACGTAAACCTACAAGAGACTGCAAGTAAAATAAATAAAAAAAATGCCACCTGAATTCAACCTCAATTTGGTCTTTAAATGCATAAGTGATAAGTTATGTTCATTTCAGTATTTCACCATCAAGGAGAAAGGAAATTATAGCAGAAAATTTCATAAACTAGTTAAAAAAAAAGCACCCATCAAAAACCATTTATTAAAACTAACAAACCAATTAAACAAAGTTCAAGCAAAACAACAACATGCTTCAAGCAAGAAACAAAACCCAGATCAGCATATCAGCTAAGGATGAAGATAAACAAGTAAACAGAAAAACCCATGGAGGAAAAATAATCGATCATCAATAAGAAAAAAAAACCAGAAACAAAACTGAAAGATAATCAGAAAATGAACAGATAGTGTGGGGAAGTTGACTTGACCTGAAAAGGCTAGACATATGCAGAGGGAATTGTTGGAGAGAACAATAAAGAAGAGAGAGAGAGAGAGCTCAAAGTCCATGGAAGAAGGTGAGAGTATTATGCTTCTTTATTTACGTGTTCGGTGTAGGTAGATGCCCAAAACTGACTCGTCAAATTATGATTTTTATTGTTAATTCATTTTTATTTTCATTAATGAACGAGTTTCGACGGTAACTTTTTCCTTAAAATTTCCAATTGTGAGACAGAGAAGAAACAACGCCGTCCTACGCGTGCGTATTTTGTCAGTCAACTGATTCAACTCGGCGAATATAACATTCGAAGCTAAATTGGTCAATTATTTCCTTCGTCTTCCTTTCCAACTCTAATAAAAAAAATTGCATTTCTACTCGTTTTTCATTTCGTTTGCATGTTTAATTGACAATTTTAAAGAAATTCTAATTATTTGACCAAAAATTGTTGATCTTTTTAGGGAGAATAATAATTATCTCGTAATAAATAAACAATTATATCTTATAAGAAGTATCTTTTAAGATTAATTAACAGTCGATGACAAATCATTATTATCCCATTTGGTTCCTTCATTGTGTTTTTTTTACAATAATTATAATCAAATATATTTTAACTAATATGATTTATAACCAAATTTTAAAAGTGTGTACTTGTTTTTTTTTTCATATTTAAATGCGTGACAACAAAGGAATGGTCAAAACATTTTCAATTTGTAAAAAGCTCCAATTTGAGATTTTCATACTCCAAGGGCATGAAATCATTATCTTTAATTTTATATTAATTTTTAAAGAACATTTTTCAATTTCAATTTCGATATTATTTATTGGGTTGTTTTCAGGTTTTTTGTTTGAATATTTTAAGGGGCACATAACTTTTAACCCTTGAATTTGGTAAAACAATTTGTTTTGATCATCAAATTTGATGGTTTTTTTCTGTTTAATCATTAATTTTAGTCTTTTTGAATATTTAATACATTGAGATTGTGACACGTAGTACAATCTAAATTGTTACGTCATTCAAGTCACCAAAATCCAAGTTCATGGGATAATACGAGAAAAAAAATTAATGGACCAAATTGAAAAAAGCTATCAAATTCAGAGAGTAAAATGATTTAATCCCTTTCTTGATTGATAAAAGAATAACAAATAAACTAATTTAAGTCAAATAATTTTTTTAAAATAAATTAAACAAATTGGTCATGTAGGTGATAAGGGGGGTGACCCTAGCCGGGATTCTCGCCGGTGGGGCTCTTCTGGTCTACAACACAAGTGCTTTGGCACAGTAGATATCAATATTTATTTGTAATACTACTTGTATTATGTCTCTAAGACGTAATTATGCACTAATCAAAATAACTTCTTGAACAATAAGTTAACTTCTGCATATCTATAATGTTTTGGCTTTGGCTAGCAAAAATTAATGAGGTAATATTGATTAGGCTGAAACATAAGGTAAAACAACATATTAAAACTAACTCAAAATGATACTGTCCAATAAATCATGGTTAATGTTCCTTTGCGAATTCCAAAAACAGAATACGTACGTACCTCCTTCTGAAGACGTGAAAACTCTCTGCCTTGGATCTGATCCGCGAAGGCAAAATGCGAAACTGAAATTCGGGAACCTCTACAATCGATTTCCGCTGCTGTAGAATATTTAACCTTGTGGTAGAAACTATTTAGTTCGACCCCATCATATCTCTTCGTACATTTCTTCATCTTGAGGAGGCAGTGACAAGCTCTTGACATGAGTTGAGCTAAAATGTTCAGTTACATCGACAATCTTAGATCGAACTATCTGCATTATGCGGATAAAATCTATGGTTACTTGGTTAACAACAGCAGGATGAAGTGTTTTTCTAACTTGGTAGTCGATGATCATGAATGTCGATCAAAAGAACAGTACAAGATCAACGGGTAACCAAATCGATCTCCATTCCATAATATGTATGGAATCATAGTGACGAACATGGGTATGTATCTGACATGCACGTGTATAGTTTTTTTCGCGTCAACACAGGTATTTCAAGACAATTAGAAAAATGGAAGTGGAGAAAAAGAAACCGGTACAGAAAATTCAGAAAAGGGGTATTATATACTCTAGTCCACTAGGTTTCAATTAACAGCATGATAGAAAACATATATTTTGGGACCAATTACCGAACCTTCTCGATTTCATCACAAAGAATGGGGTTGTCTCTCAAGTATTGTAGTGCTTTATCTCGGCCTTGTCCCAACCTTAACAAAAAAATATAGAAAACAGGACCAAATTTATTGCAAACTTACAAACACTAGTTCAAATAATTTGACATGATTAACAGATAAGAAAGCTCGAAAGCAAACCTATGGTCCCCATAGCTGTACCAAGAGCCCTTCTTTGCTACAACATCCATCATATCAGCACAATCCAAAATGCATCCCTGTAGGCTCTTTCAATGTCAAGACAAAGAGAAAAGTCTGTAAATCCGGATGAACGTGAATATGTCATTGCATTACTAACCAATTTGCTTACTCCCTCTCCAAATATGATTTCAAATTCTGCTTGCTTGTATGGTCTCGAGACCTGCAATAGCAATCAATTTGGGGACACTAAGTTCACCGGATTTATTAACAATTTCTAATGGCCTTTCAGCAGGCATTATAAACTTTAATTTAAAGCCTAACAAGAAGAATCAAGTGAAGTACAGCTTCCCACTATCTTCAAATTCGTTGATATGATTCTTATTTACCTTACTCTTCTGCACTCTTACACGAACACGAAGCCCAATATCCTCATCGCCTTTAACCTAGAATAATATGAATTATGTAATAGTAATGATTACACATTGAGCGATAAAAAGGAAAATCATAGTGGAAAATCAAGTTGCCATTGTGCTTACAGACTTTATCTTCCCAGTAGGACGTATTTCAAGACGAACTGAGGCAAAGAACTTTAATGCAATTCCTCCACTGGTAACTTCCGGGTTTCCATAATATACTCCAATCTTTCAAAATCAGAAGCAATACACTAAATCATGTTAATCTAGTCCATAAACATAGAGAGTTGCAAGAAAATCAACATGCATATAAGAATGTTCCTAAAATTTAGTTTGAGTTAAACACATTGATGCCCTTTATATCACAACTTCTATTGCTTTTACTTCATCTATCAATAAGAAAACCTATAATCAATCCAAAGTACCTTGTATCTTATTGATTAAGAAAAATTAGAGTACAACCAGCTTTAGAGGCATTTCCTGACATCTTACGTAAAGCCTGACTCATAAGACGTGCTTGTAATCCCATTTGCTGCATCCCGATCTCACCCTATATAGCAACATGCAACAAGAAAGAGCTTAGACATGGCACAGCTCATAGAAGTAGAACTGTTCAAACACATACAATAAGGGAAAAAAACAAAAGAGGTGTGCAACAAGAGGAGAGAAGTGAGGGACAGGTCATCATATTAAAAACTAGATCTCGAAGTTTTCAGCGAAATTACAGTTGGGGATAAAACACCTCAAAAATAAAAATGGCATCCGTTCTAGAGTTCCTTGTAAAGATGCTCTGTTGCTAGTTAGGTGTTAGTATCACATCAGGTCTGTATTTTCCATTCATTATATTACTTTATCTGTCTGTCTCCTTATCTTCAATCAAATCATCGATTTATATAAGAGACAGCAACTTTAAATATACAAAGGCATGCCTACCTTAGATGCCATTTGACTTTAAAATTGATGGACAAAAGATTACATGGGGGATAATTATTGTAACTTTCTGAGCGGAAAGACCCAATAAACCACAGAAACGAAATGTAATTTACTTTCAAGAGTAAAGAAAGGGGAAAGGGGAAAGGGGAAAACAAAAGAGTGAGCGTACTTCAATTTCTGCTCGTGGAGTGAGAGCTGATACTGAATCAATGCAAATTAAATCTACGGCACCAGATCTGCACATACGATCTGCAACTGAAACATAACAACTTCATTAGTCTTATTTGATGAGCTTACAAACATACCAAAATTTTCAAAAGCATCATGTGTGCTGCATCCGTTACTGCCTTCCTCAACCATGACAACTTTAACAGGTGCATAAAAAGGGATTGTGTATATTACTTTCTAATGCCATTTCCCCATTATCCGGTTGGCACACAATCAAATTTTCAACATCTACTCCCAATGCTTTTGAATATGCCGGATCAAAAGCATGCTCTGCATCAACAAGCATAGCGTTGCCACCAAGCTTCTGCAAAATTAACATAAAAACAATGAAAATAGTATTCCACTTCATTGACCTTTTTGTAACATAATAAATCAGAAACCAAACCGACTAAGAAAGGGCAGGAAACTATCAACCTGAACTTCAGCAATGGCATGGAGTGCCAGGGTAGTTTTTCCACTACTTTCTGGCCCATATACCTGCCAAGTTAAACATCAGTTACTGTGATGCCATTGAAAGAAGGTTTTGAGTATAATGTTGAAATTAGTCAATAGCACAGAGGCACATGCTTAAGACAACTAAGTAGGTAATAACACCATTAACGGTACTTTAGGTTCAGTTTTTCTTGATACAGGGAGTCGGAAAAACAAACATTGAAAGCACAAGGACATAGATAACTAAAATCTCTGAAGTGTGCTTAAGACAACTAAGTAGGTAATATCTTGCTATTTACAATTTAAAGTGTGTTCATAACCTCTGCTCAGATAGGGCAAATCTAAGATCCTTTCAATTACAAAGTTACCATTTTTCCTCTCCACCATCATCAAAAGGAAACTACCAAATAGAAATCCAAAAGTCCAAACAGCACATCCAGATAATGTTCATTAAATAATTATTTTAAAACAAAATCATGGAGAAAAACAATGATATAGAATGAGAAAATCAATACCTCCACAATTCTTCCTTTGGGAAGGCCACCACCTAAGGCTAAATCTAGCGTCAGACAACCACTTGGAAAAGTTTCACTGTAATGGATTAAGTTTAACCAAATGAACTCAGGCCAAAAACAATTTCAGTTCAAACTCTACAACTAAGTGCCTCATAGAACCTTAACATAATAATTAAAACCATATCAAGCAGAAAACTTTTTCCTGTCTTACGAGGTACAAAATTTGGACCCTACATATTGAAGTAAATCAACAAAAGATCTTGTAAAAAAAATCCACAATGTTATGGTAAGTTCGAAAACATACACCAATGCTCCACCAGCACTCCCCAATCTTGTAACACTTCCTTTTCCGAATGAACTATTTATATCATTCATTGCAGCCTCCAATGCTTTTTGCTGAAATGTAAAAAGGAAATATGCATATAACATTAAGCGTCCAAAAACATAAATCTCGATAAGCATATTCTGCCAAAATAATACAAACGGAAGGCAGTAGACACAACCAAATTCATTAAGACCAGCGTTGAGTCGTTGACGATTACATTTGCTATTGCATTTTGCACTATAATATTCACTATAAAGCAAAATCAAATGGTATGAAACCGGGATCATAATCCATTAGCAATGAACAAATGACTAAAGCAAAAATACAAATTCCAATACAAGTGCTAGGGAGTGTCGAATCCATCTATGCGTCCAACCAAGATATGCTCATTTTGTTTCTAAATTTATATTCCATACTCACCCCCGAATATATTTCAGACATGGATAATATAGGACATGCAACATAGTACAAGTGTTCCATATGAAAGTAAACTAGAACTTAGCATCTCAAGTAAAATGAATACAGAAATTTTCATTTTTCCCAAAAAAAAATGTCAGCTTTTAAAAGCAGAAAAATAACCAAATCAGCAAAAGCAACAAAACCAAACAGCAGAATTGCAGGAAAGTTTCAAGTGCGCATTGGCTTTTTCTTGCTAAACCCACAGAAATGAATTGCTTTAAAGGACCAAACTCTTCGAAATACATAAAAAAAAGGGGTTACCCTGTCGAGGAAACGGGAGTCGGAGTCCGGGGGTAGTGCGCCATTAACTCTGGGTTCGAATTCACAGAGAACTTTTCTGAGTGGTTTCTTGGCGGCGGCTGCTAGGTTGAAGTGTGAGGAAGTGAGAGGCGGGCGTCGCTGGAAATGGCTTTGGAGAGGCAAAGAGTGATGGTGGAGTTTAAGTTGCAAGGAGAGAACTAAAGAAGATGAATCCATGTCTATATAATTGCTCGCAAAAATTACAGTTCAAAGCTTGAAGAAGCAGCGGGCGGCTTCTTCTTTTCTTCTTCAGCTCTTGTGTTCAATGAAATATAAAATCAGGGTAACCTACTTTTAGATCACTCAATTTTGACAGTTCTTCTGATTTGTTCATAAACTTTAATAATTTTTCTAATTCACCGTTAAACTTCTAAATTGCTTCTGCTTTGGTAACTAAATTGTTAAGTGTTTAATCACATTTAGATTTCTTTGGTAAAATAATGAAAAACTCCTTTGAAATTTAATTAGACATTAATTTTTAAAAAAAATTGATTAGGCCCTCAAACTATACCACCAATATCTATCTCAGAATGTAAACAATCACTTTATCACAAATGACAACCCTATATTCGATCCAAACAAATTTTGAGTACAAATTTTTACATTAGGACCAGCATATATCTTAAATAATGTTTAAAGAAACGGAGACCTTGATGATACCCCAAATCAGTTTAATTTTCTTTACAAACAATAATAAACCGTAAGCCCTAATCATCAAATCATTAATAATCAATTAATTCCAAATGTTGGACAATCCCACATTCCAGACAAGTAGCTTTGATCTGAATGACCAACTTCATCGAAGCACGTTGATTCTTTGACGTTCAAATAAGTGTCTAACTGACTAAGATTGCTCAACACATCTTTAATGATTGTCTTATCATTGGAGAATGAGTCTAAACAAGAAGTAATGTTGTTTTCAATGACTCTCGAGATCCTTTGTTGTTGTTGTTGTTCGACTGATGAAGAAGATGACGATGTTAGGGTTTTTGCATGCATATATGGTGCTTGCATGTCGTTGAAGCTTTGTTTTTTGGTGGACAACATGGTGGAGAAGCAGGGCACTTGCTTGTCGGAGCTCGGTCGAGTTTGGTAAGTAATTGTGTAAGGATCCATCAATGGTGGGAGAGATGATGAGCTTGTGTCGTCCGAACATATCTCCATGCTTCTAGGGTTAGTGGTAATGGTTGTGTCTCTGGTTTTGTGGATCACTCGACATAAAACCCAATCTTCCTACATATGTTTTGAAATATCGAGAAAAAATATATATTAGTATCATCAAATGTGAACAATAATTTGGTATAAATATAAGAATAAAATTTAAATAAATAAATTTTAAGATTAGATATTTATTGATTTTAAAATTAAATAATTTAACTTGATCTAATCCTAGTTCTATCCCGATGCGATGATGTTTATAAATTTTATTAATAATGTATTTAATCATTTTTCTATGACAAGTAACAAGGCGGCTAATACTCTATAGATAAAAGAAAATTACATAGAGATTTGACTTTGTAATCATATATGCTCAATAGATTTTATATTGCAACATGTCCCAAGATTCGTGCAAAAATTCAAGGAGCTTTTAGAGAAATAATACATGTATTTATCCATCTATATATATATTGATAAGGAATAGGTAGAGAAGTTGCCTCGAATTGAACTTAGGAACTAATGTCATCTAGGATTAAAGTGATGCCCTAAGCTGATGCATTATATGTTTGATTGATAAATATTTTATGAGATTAATTTCTATTTAAACCCTTAAATGAATAGACGATGGATATTTATAATATAAAAAACTAATATATATGTATATATAAAGAAATTACCTCGAGAGTGGATATGGTGGGAGGTGAAAGGAGATGTTGAAGCCTGAATTCATGCATGACCCAATCAGTTTTAGTGCCTTTGGGAGCCCTGCCTTGGTAGAACACCAACGTTTTTCTCATCCCAACAAGCTTCCCTTTGCTATGGATTCCCCCGTCTTTTCCTGTTGCCTTCCAGTATCCACTGCACGTTGCCCTGTTTGTTCTCACCCCCGTTGCATACTTTCTATCTCTTTTGCTGTAAAAATACCACTCTTTCCCTCCCACTGCTGCCGTTTCTGCCATACTTTTTCTCATCAATTCTATTACCTTTTAACAAACAACCCATTTCAGATCCAAAAAAATATTCAAATTAGTACTTGGTCATAAACCCATTGGTCAAATTGGAAATACAATACCCAAAACATTTTTTTTTCTATTTTCTTGTATTTTTTGGATAGTTGAAAATTAAATATTCTTTTTAGATAAGTATGCTGATGGAGATGTTGAAATTATTGGGAAGACTAATTAGTAGGGATGGAAAACGGGTACAATTTCGTGGATTCCGCACCGTACCCGCTCCAATTGGGGCGGGATGGGTATAACTTTAACGGGTAGTGGGCGGGTGTGGATTTAGAAATTGATACCCGTCGTGGGTAGTGGGCGGGTGATGGGTTTGATACCTTACCCACCCTGCATCCACCCGCCTTACATCCGTCCGCCCACTAAATATCCATTAAATTTTAAACCATTATGAATTTAGGTATAATTTTAGAGACTAATTTATAAATATTAATATTGTATAATATATAACTTATAATTTAACCAAATATTAGGGATATGTTTATGAATTTATGTACAATCTCGTGCTCTGCTTTGGTTACCGTGCCAATATTCTGATAGTTTTATTCTCTAAGTTGCAAATTATGGTCTCCAACTCATTCAATACGTCTTCTTCCTCTTCTTTAGTCTTTATTATGGTCTCCTCTGCGTGTAGTAGAGTTGTATGTCACCCTTACACACAGATCCAAAACCACATTCCCCAATCTTGTTTGTTGCATCGAAGTTGTGTGTTGCTGCTTTAATTTGTCGTAAGGTGAATACTCCGGTTTCATATCTAATCCTCTTAGTTCTATTTTGATATTCTTTTTCTGGATTGGGATAATGCAAAGGTAAAGATCCAAACACCGAGCTATATTTTATGCATCCTGGATCATTTGCTTAGATTTGTATAAGCTTGTTTGGTTTCTGGTGTGGGGAAAGAGATGAAATCAAAAGACAGTGTCCCTCGGTTCAAGAGCGGAGAGCAAAAAGACTTCAACAACGAAGATGAAGACATTATAATTCTAGGACAATCTATGTGCGTCAAAAGATAAAGGGATTCTAAACCTGTTTCGAACCCTTGCAAACGGTTAGTTGTCGAGCCCAGTTTGGAGCAACGACAAGTAGCCTTCCGTTCTTGGGGAAACCAACGGCTAGAAGAAGCGGATCCAGATGTGGATGAAATTATGAAAAAGGAAAAGCAAAGGCAAATATTAGGAATTGAGCTTATTGCTTCCAAAAATTTTGTGTGCAAAGCTGTGATGGAAGCATTGGGAAGCCATTTAACGAACAAATACTCCGAAGGAATGCCTGGAGCCAGTTACTATATTGGCAACCAGTTTATAGATCAAATCGAAACCCTCTGCGAAATTTTCTGTTTATACCAGAATTTTTCTGCCCGGTATAACTTAAGTTTGCTGTCAGGTGGGTCTAATCGGGTACGTCTCCAGTTGAATAGTGGGTATGGGGATAGATTTGATAATGTACCCGCGTGGGTCGTCATCGATTTGAAAATTTTTACCCGTGATGGACGGGTGGTAGATTAGAAAATATTAAGTGAGTATGGGGATGAGATATCCGCATCCAATCTGCCCGTTTGTCATCTTACAAATTAGGGTTTATGAACACGTGGCAGTCCAAATTTAGAAGCATCAAAAGTTTGTTCAATGACTACCAGCTGTGACACAAAAACAGGTGACCCAATCTAATAATTTGCGGTTAAAAGGTCAATTTATGTCCCTTAATGTTGAATTACTGGAGATAATTATTGTAATTTGTCAAAAAGACAAAACGGGTTGCTTTGCTTACACGTGTGGTATCTGTGAAAATGTAAGAGTTATAGAATATTTATAAATATTAAAAATATTAATCCCCACCACTGTCTCTTATATTCGTATAAAATTTTAAAAATATATTTATAAATTATTTTTTGTTATTAATTATCTCAGCACTTTCACAGCTTTTAGGTTGGGGCAATGCCAAGACTGTCAATTTCAGCTAAGAGATGTATAATACGGAATTGTTGATTATATTATTAAAAAATAAAATTGATGACGAGGGATTTACGAGATTTTTCTAACTTTATATATAATATCAATAATTGTAGTTAATATATAAAATATAACGATTAAAGTTATCATATACTTTATTTAATATATTAACTAACATTGTAAAGGAAATGAATAAGAATACTTTTATATTTAATAATTTTAAGATAATAATTTAAAGATTTAATGCCTATCAACTAAATATGAATAGGATATGGGCGTTTTTATTGAAAAATCATCTTTTCCGTTTAATATTATTGATCAGGCACCATTCATACTATATTTCTCGATCAAATACCCTTTGCAGGAAGACGCGCCCCTGAACCGCGCTTTACGCCACGGGGTCGAAGGCGCCCCCCACCCAATGTGTAAAAAACCCAGGTGTTAATTTTGTAAATATTTTTAAATGGGTGTCAAATATGTAATTAATTTCTATTATGGTTACATTTGTGTAAAAACGTCAGCATTTTGAATTGTGCACAGCTCACACCGCACGATTAGGTTTTAATGAAGTGTGCAGTGTGTGTAGTGGTTGAGTTTATTAGTATTTTAGTATCACAAGTTTATTTTTTATAATAATAAATATTTTATAATTTTAAAAATTATAAATTTCATATATTTTTGAAAAATTATTGTCTTTTAAAATTAATTGTTTAAAAATATAAAAAATATTAAAATAAATTTTTAATTACAATTGAGGGATCAAATTAATTATTATTTTTTATTTTTTATTTTTAACAACAATTAATAATTTTTATTCATTTTTAATAAAATTATTTAAATTTTTGCATTAAAACTACACAATACGTATAATCTAGTATATAAAAACTTTAAGGATAAATATTTTAAAATATGAATAATTTTATAAAAAATTTATAACTAGTATTTCTTTTACAAAATAATGATGATGATAAATATTTTATAATTTAAAAAATTATAAATTTCATATATTTTTTAAAAAAAGTTATTGTCTTTTAAAATTAATTGTTTAAAAATATAAAAAAATATTAAAATAAACTTTTAATTACAACTAAGGGTTCAAATGAATTATTATTCAATAATTTTTTCAAAAATATATGAATTTTATAATTTTTTTAAATTATAAATATTTATTATTATAAAAAATAAACTTGTTACACACTAAAATACTAATAAACTCAACCACTGCACACTTCATTAACTTGTGACAAGACCCCAGCCAGTTCAACCTGGAACCTTGCGGTGTGGGGTGTCTGCACAATTAAAATGCTGACGTTTTTACACAAATGTCACCATAATAGAAATTAATGATGTATTTGGCACCCGTTTAAAAATATTTATAAAACTAACACCCGATTTTTTTACACATTTGGTAAGGCGCGCCTTTGACCACGTGGCGTAAAGTTAGGTTAAGGGGGCGCCTTCCTGCAAAGGGTGTTAGATCGAAAAATATAGTCTGAACGGTGTATGACAGGAAAATATATAGGGTTAGGGTGATATTTCGGGAGAAACGCCTAGGAAATGCATATACATATTTATAAGAATTTGTGTATATTGAAGTTTCGGGTGACATACATAACAACCATCCCACTTGATTTTTGGCTCACCATATATAATTTGTATGACCACTTTTTAAATTTAATTTATATATTATATATATAAGATTATAAAAAAAAATCATATTCTAGTATTTATTAAAGGATAATTTAGAATTGAAATATGGATTTTTCTAATATGTTATCTAAATTACTCATTTTTTTTCTAAATGTTTAAATCAAACATAATTATACATTAATACATTGAAATCTATGACCTCTAAAAGATATCGATCGGATTAAAAACAATGCCTACCAAAATATAAAACTTTGGATAGAAAGAAAGGAGTAGTTATATGATGATTAAACTAAGTTTACCATATAATATCAAACTACAAAAACAAAATTATAAGATGTATTTGAAAGTTAAGTATCTTAAATTATTATCAAGCTGAATATTAAAATTTATTATTATTTTCTTTTAATAAGGTAAAATAGAAAGCTAATATGATCAGATCTAAAACATAAGATCAATAAAAAGTTAAATGATATTCTTTTTATTATATCATTATGTTTGATCCATAAATATTATTAGTTTTAATTGACAATTATAATTTTAGATCATTAACATATTTTATGATGTATTTTTAATAAGAAAAATGTAGAAAATACATAAAAACAAAAACAGGTCTCTCAACGATATCTACTTCACCAATAAGGAGTAAAAATTATATGAAATTATATATATCCTTTTGCAGCCGGTCTAGTTGCTATCAACTTTTCATAAGCAAATTATGCAAACAAAAACAATCGTACATCTTTATTTCCTTAAGGACGAAGCATAGGTTTAGAACCCAGAAAATGAAAACATGAAGAACACGAAGAATAACCGATCGACTGATTCATACAATCATTTTTAAAAGATGGTATTTAATAAACCAGAGATTCAAATCCCAAAAACTCATGAATTCAATAGAAAAATGATATGCATATATAGAATACATACCGGGAATATCCCATGGCTCGCACTTGTTGAGGTCGACTTCGATCATAAGTTGCGAGGTATCGGTGGAACCCACCTTCTTCATCAAGTAATCGCAGACGAGTTCTTCGTCTCGAGGGTGGAACCTGAACCCCGGCGGCAACTTGGCCTCCACCAAGCTTATGTTGCTCATTCTTTTAGGGTTTCATTTAATTCAAGAGAAGAAACTGGGAAACAATAGTGGTTTCTGCATCGAAAATTGAAGGTTTCTTTGAGAGGAAAACAATGGCTCTTATAGCTATGGAGAATGCAAAAAGAAGAAAGGAAGAGAGGATAAATAAAGAAGGGAAGAGGTCGTTAAGGTGGAGGATATTATTAAGGTCAACTTGGTAAAAATAAAATGGACCCTATAGGTTTTATTATATGTTTATATAAATTTAAAATGCTCATATTATATTTATGTTACCTTTTATATTATATTTTAATTATTCGTCGTATTCTACAATCTTATGATAAATATGTCGAAGATAGAATTAGTAATTAGTTTATTAGTTTATTAGTATTTATACTATATTAATTTATGCTAGTTTTATATTATATTATATTTTTATTTTAATTATATAATATTATTGGATGAAGTCAAGTTTTTAGTTTTATAATTTCAAAGAGCTACCCATAAATTGAATGTTTTTCTTAATAAGTAAATATTGATTAGGGTTTGCTACAACTAGAGCCGAGTCAAGCCTTGGTAAAGATTTTAAAAGCCTAAACTCAGCTTCGCCTAAAAATATTACAAGATCAAATTATCGACTACTAGGTGATTAATCTGATTAAAATTTACTAAATTGTTCTTTGAAATCATGGTTAATTTTAGATAGGTTTGGTTCAAATTCGATATTGAATTTTGATTAAGATTGAGCTCACATCGGGATGAATGGATCTTAAAATAATTAAAGGTGGTTTTTTTTTTGAAAATTAATTTGTATGGTATTAAAGAGAAACACATACAAAATGGAACAAGAACATGAGTCTCATTAATGAACCTCCCTAAAACTTAAATGAAGGAAAAATAGTGCACCATGTAATTGTGAGAAGAAATACAAAAGCACTACACATTAGCCAAAACTATGGAACTAAACCAGCACCCCAGGATCAAGCAAAACAAATCACAGAACCACTGGAACCCTGCACTAATCAGAATACTAAGATACACTACTGCCACAATAAGCAAGCAGCGAATTGTAACACTCAAACTGACATCCACGCAACGAACGCAGCTCCCCTACCAACAGACTATAAAATGAACAAAAATACCCTAGGTAAGACCACCAAATTAAACCACCAATATCCACACAATGTCCTCGGAGCTAATACCCAACGTGATCCCGCACAGCATAGTAAACCATCTAGTCACACCATAGACAGAATGGTTGTGACTTACACCTTAAAATTAAATCGCTGCACTCCAAGTCCCTTATCTGAGCCAGCAACGCTCTGAATAGCTAGCACCATCCCAAGACTACCCCTTCGGCAAATGGAGAGATCAAGCACCGAGACAGGGGCCCTTGGTCAATTTCATTTACACCAAAAATTGATTCTTGCCAGCGTCAGGTGATACAAACTATCTGCACAACTAAATTTTCCATTAAATACCACTTGATTTCTCCCCAACCAAATTGTCCACATAAAGCCAAAAATTGCTACAGACCGGATCCTCTTCCTGGATTGATTTAACGGTTGATCCATCCAAACAGAAAGGAAAGAGCTATATGTACTAGGACATACAATACGGATGTTCTAATTCAATGCCATATCTGCCACAATCTCCACACAAACTCGCAATGACAGAATAGATGGCTTACCGTCTCTGACGCCTTACTACAGAACACAAAAAGAGAATCATCGACACTATCCACACCCTTTTTAGCCAATTCATAAAGGTGGCTTAATTAATGTTCAATTGAGATTGACTCGTAACTGTAGAGTGTTGATCACGGAGCAAATCGCTCAAACGAGCCTTGCATGGTGGGTTTGATAACAATTTGGGTTTTTTAAAGGTGGCGGCGGCTCTGTGATTTGTTTTAAAAGCTGACATTTAGTAGAGGTGGCTTAATTAATGTTCAATTGAGATTGACTCGTAACTGTAGAGTGTTGATCACGGAGCAAACCGCTCAAACGAGCCTTGGGTGGGTTTGATAACAATTTGGGATTTTTAGGTTAAGCTTGCATATATCAGAGTTCGGGTTTATGATAGAACGGTGGTGGTGGCTCGATTCAACGGAGAGGGAGGGTGAATCTCACGGAGGTTTATCCACATCCATAAAATCAAAAGGAGAAGAAAAAGAAGGATGATGTTGACAATAATATCTTCAATATTGGGTTAGTGATTAAATTGTAAAATTTCAGAATCTGGTGATTAAAGTATAATAGTTGAATAGCTCAATGATTTATTTGAAAATATTTCCTTAAAATTGTTAATAATTATCCAATGAATTAAAGGGTAAAATGGTCATTTGACAATAAATATTTTTATTTCCTTATAAGATAAGAAAACTCACGTGGAAGTGAAGAAGAATAATAAACTTCCATAGTTATCTTCGTCCTTCTTCTCTCTGTGTGAAAGCTCAAGGCAAAAGTTGAGTTTTTTAATTTCTTGATTGTTTGTTGATTTTAAGCATGTGTTTTGATTCTTAGATGATAATTAAGCTTAAGGAAAGTTTAATTTGTCTTAAAATCAAAAGATAAAGGAGTTATGACAGATTAAATTGTCGAAACGATTTTTTTCTTAAAGGTGAAAAAAGGTGAGATTTTGAAAACCACATTAATTCTTAATTATCCCTTTTTAATTTAAAAACAAATGCGATTTAAAAAAACCTCTCGTTTCGAAAAATTTTGAATTTCCTTTACGATTGAAAAATACGGTTCGAAGAGTCGCCACCAATCTTTGATTAGGGTGTGATTGGGCACCCAAAAATGTTTGTTATTTTAAATAAAAATTAATTTTTATTAAAACAACAAATTGAGGTCTGCGTTACCAAAATCTGAGTTCGGGAGTCGGTTACGTGTGGGGAAGGATTAGCACCCCCACAACGCCCTAAATCGGTACCTAATCGATTAATTAACGTTTTTTGCAATGAACTTTACAAATTCGAAGTTAATTTGAATTTTGATCCCATAAAACAAAAATGTAAATTTAAAACATTCAAGAACACTCAAACAAATTAAATTAAAATTACCAAGTCATTTTAGAAAGATAAAGAATGTTCGATTATTTACAAATATCGAGACCAGATCTTAAAAATATAACAACCTTTTCTCGATATATTTAAATAAACGAACATTTCTTTTTCTCTCGTTCCCAAATTTTAGGTGACAAATCAATTTTTTTGTTTCACTTTCGGGATACACTTTTATTTTAAAATCATTAAAAGCGGACCTCAAATCATTTATGACTGCCCACTTCAACAATTTTAAATTAAAAGGGTATTACCCTTAATCCAATTATGTAATATATCGAGTTATACAAATGAGGCTATCACGTGAATTATGCAAAAAGTATGTCATGCCAAAATTAATTAAACAAAATTAAAAAATAGCATACAATGTGATATACAAAAAATTATGTACGTACATTTTAGTTAAAAATCATAAACCATATATACTAACATATAATGTAAGCATGTGACCTAAATATAAAAATAAAACATAACATACCAAATTATAAATTTTTAAAATAAATATATATATATATATATATATATATATATATATATATATATATATATATATATATATATATATATATATATATATACATCCATATTAAAGCAATGACTAAATTTAAACACACGTAAAATTAAACATGCTGACTAAAAATCAAAACAGAGACTTAAATAAAACGAATATAAATATAAGGAACTTAAACTTAAATAATTCAAAATAGTAACTAAAACAAAAACTAGAAAATAACTAAGTTAAGACATATAAAAAAAATATCAAAAATCAAACCTTAAAGGTGACTAAATTATAAAAACGTTGAACTTAGGATCTAAAGATAGTTTACATCTAAAGTTACAATGGCTAGACCCTAATTCACCCAAAATATTTAATATGTATTCTAAACCTAAGTTTAAACAAAAGGCAGCTACTTCTCATCTTTCATCTCCACGGCCGCAGCTCTCCCTTTATTTCTTTCCTCGACCGCCTCTTGTCCCAAAGCCCTACACAATCGCCTAATGAAATCTGCCACCGTTCAAGATGGTTCTCTCCTCTCCCTTCAACACATGCGAGATCGAGGGAAAACCCAAAATCCTCCCATCTAAACTCTTCCAAGGCTTACGGACAAAACAAGATTCCTCACGCTAGACCAACTCCGACAAGCCACCATTTCTTGGTGGCCACTCCCCACTCCGAACCAACACAAAATTCAACCTGGTAAATTCCTAATCCTAACCTATACACAAATAAATATTTGATGCTCTTCTAACCCTTCTCTTTTGTTTGCTTCGATGTAAACCTCGGAAAATCGACGCTGCCAACCTACTAATTCTAAAGTTTAGGCGAGGCTAACCCCACTCTCGGCTCCCCTTACACTCAGCGAAGACTCAAAGTAGAACTAGGTAAAGTAAAACTAAACCTCTCATGTTTTCTATCGATCAATAAGGAAACCGATGCATAGAAAGGTAAATTTCATTACTTTTTTTTTTAATTCTACAAACAAGTTCAATTTTTAACTGTAAAATGTTTGTTTATTTTTTATTTTTTAAAAAGGACTCTCCTAAATCGAAGCAAAGATACTAAGCTAACAAATTTCTATCCTAAGGACACAATCATGGTACGGGAAATGACATTAAAATCTAAAGTAAACATACCATTATTCCTTTATATTTCTGTTTTGGTTCTGATTTGAAACATAGACATACACAAGAACGTTATGAAAGCAATGAAAAATGGAAATTGAAAACGAATACCCTTTTGATGCTATGTGTTGCTTTCGTTGTTGGATTGTATTCTGTATTTGGTGTTGTTTTTGGCTTGAGAATATGATACTGCCCTTTGTGAACTTTCCTTCGGTTGGGAGAATAACATAAAACAAAATTTGTTTCTATTGCTTTTCGGAAAATCAAAATTTTTACACTGTTTTTTCGTTCTGCTCCCCCCTTTCTTTTCTATTTTCTCTCCTTTTCTATCCCTCCCCATGGTTGATAGTTTCTAGTGGTTAAACCCCCTCAAAACTGACCATTTACAGTTTTTTAATTCCCCACTATCTAATTATTCCAACTGCTAAAAACCAACCTGGATCTCTTTCTTTTTCTGCATCAAACTGTTGTCAATTGGTCTTAAGCTGGACCTTAATCTGGTTTGGGCTCATCTGGGCTCTCA